CACACACACACACACACACACAGGCAGGCCACTATGCTATTGTTCCTTGCTTCCTAAAGTCCCTCCCCCATCTGCCACCTTCTACCCATCTTTTCATGTCTTTAAATTTTTATTTAAAAAAGTGTTTTTTCTAATTGTTTTATTTGTGCTCAGTGCGCTTGCTGAACAGGGAAGCTCCCTCCTGGGGGCTGGGAGGCGAAGGTGTTTGATTTCTCCCAGCCACCTGACGGTGGTGTATTTCTGCTTCTCGCCTCCTCACTGTCTCTGTCACGCCTCCCTGTTTCTGAGACCCCGAATCTGCTTGTCTTAAGGCCTCTCCCCCACTCGTCTTTTATTTTAATTTCATCCAGTATGAATTCCTAACACAAGCGTGGATTTGGCTGGCAGTTTTCCTTCGTCTTCACAGTCTCCTAACTGTGATGTAGTGGGTTACGCACTGAGCTGCAAACGGCAAGGTCAGACGTTCAACACCACCAGCTGCTTCGTGGGAGAAAGAGGAGGCTTCCTGTTCCTGTAAAGAGATACAGTCTTGGAAACCCACAGGGGCCGTTCTACCCTGTCTTGTAGGGCCACGATGGGTTAGGATGGATTTGGTGGCAGTGCAATGTTGTCACGTGCTCCTCTTTCCACCCCTCTGTGAACCTCCCTGTCAGCCTACAGCACAGAAGCACGCCTTCTGCTGGCAAGTCAGAAGTCCTGGCGGTCACGCTGACACAGGTGGTCAGCTCATCGAGCCAGGAAGCAGCGAGGCTCATGGGCTTCTATCTGGATTATCCTCAGTCCAGGGCCCCACCTGCACATCAGTTGCTGTCTCAGAGCACAGCCAAAGGGCACCTTCTTTCTGACATCAGGGTGTCCCTGTCCCTTCCCAGTCCTGGTTTTAAATAGAGCACCTGCATCTGTTCCCAGACTCCTGTTCCCATTGTCCCTGGAGACCCAGAGCCCATCCAGCCTGGCTTTGTTCCCACTCAGCAGTGCGTGTTTCTGAACCTCAGGGAAGCTTCTCTTGGGTTTGAGCCCAGCTATCACCTTTCAGCACAGTCCCTGGCACTCGGAGACTGTGTTGGGGGGACGAGAGATGGGTGGGGAGACTCCTGGGTGTGGGGGGGCAATGGATCGAAGGATCCTTGGTGACACTGTGGGTTAGGCTACTAACTGTGATGTTGACGGTTCGAACCTATCAATCTGGGGCTCCCCAGGAGAAAGAGGAAGGCATCTGTGCCCAGAAAGACTTGCAGTCTCAGAAACGATACAGCAACAGTTCTCAACCTGTGGGTGGAGAGGGAGTCAAACGACCCTTTCCCAGGGGTCGCCCGATTCATCACAGTAGCAAAGTGACCGTGAGGAAGTAGCAATGAAAATAATTTTATGGCTGGGGGTGGTCACCACCACATGAGGAACTGTATTAAGGGGTCATGGCCTGAGGAAGGTTGAGAACCACTGCTCTCTAGGGTGGTTGGGAGTCGGAATCAGAATATGCTGGAAGGAAGCAAGGTTTAAGATGAACGAGAAGGGGAAGGAGGCTACGGTTAATTTCTGTCTTGAAGTACCTGACCGCAATCAAGGTTGAGGTAGCTGCTGCTTTCATCTGATTTTCCTGCTCTGCAGAGGAGCCCGGGTGATGGACTGGGCTGCGATTCCCAAGGTCAGCAGTTTGAAACCACTAGCCACTTTGAGGTCCACAGACAGGGCTTTGTACTCCATAAGGAGTTCCAGTCTCAAGCTCACAGGGGCAGTTTTATAGGATAGCTACAAGTCCTGTAGGAATGACTAAGATGCAGCAACGACTTGATGGCTGTGAGGTCAGAGGTCCCTTCTTCTCTGTCTTGCTCCACGCCCCATCAGTTCTTGAGCTGGACACAAAGCATACCTTTTTGCACACTGCAGTGGGCATTTAGACTCGGAGAGGCCCTCGGGGACAAGTGGCCACAGGGCCAGGAAGGCTGGATAAGAAGACCGACTTGCTCTGGACTCTGAAGGATGAAAAGAATCTTTCCCAAAAGATTTTGAAGGCAGATCAGGGACAGTCTTTCCTTTATCATGAAAGAGAAATCTGCACAGGACAAGGGTACCCAACCTGGTCCCAGGCCTGCCAGCAGCTCTGGCTGCTTGTGGATGGTGCCCACTGACAATGAGCACCCGGGCTTCTCTCTCCAGCCAGGCCCCAGGCAGGGATTAGCCTCTCAGCGAGGCTCAGGGGGCAAGGACATCAGGTCAGGGGTCACTTCAAACCTGCACTTCCACTTCTTAGCACTCACTTTACCCGGACGAGGAAGGGGCTGGGATTCATGTACACGGTGGGTCATAACACACCAACAAGGACAGTGAGCTAGAATTCTAGCGACGGGGTTATGATTAAATGAACTGGTACACTAACTCAACGGAACACTGAGCAATAATTGAAAATCAGGCTTCTGAAGCGTCTTGAATGGGGAAATGCTCTAAATGCAGTATGCTAACTGAAAAACAAATCCCATGAGGCATTTGGCAGTGCAGAAGCAGCCTCGCAGCTTCACTTTCTGTGTGTGTGTGTGTGTGTTTGTGCTCACTGTCAAGTACATCTGTCACACAACTGTTGCCCATTCCATCTTTAACAGATGTACAATGTACTGACAGCTACTACTGTGATTGGCTGTACAGTCCTACGTGAAATCCATAGGATATTTCCACCACCATTAAAACCCTCTCTCCTTGTCCCTCAAACCAATTGAGTTGATGATTGTGAAGACAGCAGCACTCTCTGGGTGGGCAGTGTTTTGTTCCGTTGTGCATAAAGCCACTGCAGATTGGAGTCAACTAAGTTGTACCTAAAGACAGTAGCAGGACAAGTCTTTACTGGAGCAGTCACAACCTCATCCCTGCTGACCCGGTGGTTAGCAGCCCAATGAGAAACCCACCACACCAATCAAAAAAAACAAACAAACAAACAAACAAACAAAACCACACCCAAACCAAAAACCCCACAGAAACCCAAACTCACTGCCATGGAGCTGATTCCGAACCATAGTGACTCTATAGAACAGGGTAGAATCGCCTGGGTTTGTTTCGGAGATGGAAGGAGTAGAAAGTGTCCTCTTTCTCCCCAGGAGCGGCTGGTGGTTTTGAACTGCCGACCTCGTGATTGGCAGTCCAATGCGTAACCATTTGTTTTCCTCCCTCTAAAGCCAAACCAAGCAAAGTTCAGTGTAGTATTCTAGTTACAAAAGGAGGCCTGGTGGGCAGTTTGGTAAATGCTGGACGGCTCACAAAGCCACCAGCTGCTCTGAGAAAGATGAAATTACTGCTCCTGCAGACTGACAGCCTCAGGGTCGCAGGGAGTCGGAATCCACTCATGGGAGTGGGTTTTTGGTATTAAGTACAGGGAACCTTGGTGGCGCAGTGGCTAAGCGCTTGGCTGCTAAGTTAAACGACTGCTAAGCTTAAATCCATCAGCAGCTCCTGGGAGAAACCCCGGGGAAGCTGCTTCCTTGCAGATTACACCCATGAATGGCACTCCACCAGAGTGGGCTTGGATTTTGGATCTAGCACAGAAGTAGTGCATATAGCACGGAAATCATTATTTATGAATATGCATGATAATATGTCGTAGAAGGACAATGGGTAGAACTACAGAATGATTACTGTCGGATATCTCAACTGGGGGGGGGCGGGTATTGCGCTAAAGCTTTAGACTTCTCCGTTCTATCTATTACAGTAACATTCACGGTATAACAGGAGGTCAAGCTGATGAAAAATGTGTATTTACAACACACACACACACACACACACACAC